AAAATAAGTGGGCGGGGGGGGGGGGGGAGAAAAAGAAAAAAATTGTGGGAAGTTTTTACTTACTGGAGATACGACTGCCAGTTTACTTTGTTTGCCCGAACTTCAGCAGCTTTGGCAGCAATGATGTTTGTTGGGACAGCAGCATCTACAGCACCTCGGATATCCATCTTGATTGATAATTAGAATGTATCTAGAAATGCAAGTCAGATTTGAGACCTCTTATTAAAGTATTAAAGAGCAGAGTATCTGCCAAATATTTTAAAGAAATAAAAAGGAAAATCTGTTTTCAGGTGTCCTATTCCCTAAAACTGTACTCGGTACTTTCTAAGAAATCAAAGTTTTATAAAGCATCTAAAATAGGACTTCCCCAAAACAAACAAAAATAAGTCATACCTACACACTAAACTGTAGCCAATCACAAGTTTGCTAAAATAAAAGATATATACCATTACTAAATAACTTTCAGTCTTGTAAATTCTTAAACAATCAAATTAAGTTATTTGAATAAAGACTATTCTTCTGCAATGCCCAAGTAGCCCTACGGATAACAGAAGCTGTTTTCCTTCCAAATCAGGGTTAAAATTCAGTACATGTCCTCCCCACCCACACACATTAGGACTGATTTAGCTCAGGCATTTGTCTAAGAGTATTTAGACATTAGAGACAAGTGAACTACAACTTCAGGAAAAAAAAAAAAACAAGCACAAGTTATATAAATTAAAACCCACATTACATAGACTAACAAGAAAATTCATATCATCACCGTACAGAAAGCAAACTGAAAAATAAATACAAAGAGAAGCTCTTCATCAGGACATATTACATTACCATAGACAGTGACCTTCACCACTTCTTTCTCCTTCCTTTACAGTTTAACCTCCACCTGACTTCGTTGCCAAAACAAGAAGTGTGTTTGCAGAGGCTTGAGACCCAGCTGGAGCAGGAATTCCTTACAACCTAAACAGCATCAAGCCTCTCCACACAGCCTGTTTCTGGACTTCTCTGGCTCCCTTTACGGAAGCAAGAGCAAACTGGCACACCCTGCTCCATCCCTAACAAGCATACCTCGTTTGTATGACTGAACGAAAACACGATTCTAACAAAAGCAAAAAAGGAACTACCCTGAACAAATGGAGCAGCAGAACCGTCCTCCCTTTGAAACGACTTCCGTGAGCAGACGCCCACAGAGACGGCACCATTTACTCTGTCCTTCAACGACCACTGAACCTTTCCTAGCCCTTACACGACCCAACCCGAGCCACTCGAACACCCCTCGAGCCGCAGGGGAGGGCAGAGTGGGTGACAGCGGTTTCGGCAGGGGCAGGGTGGGCGACAGAGGTTTCGGCACTACTCAGGCTCGGCAGGTACGTGGAAGAAGCCGAGAGGCGCCCGGAGCGGGGGGGGGAGGTGGAAGACACTTGGCCCCGTCCTGCCACTCCCTGCACACGCTCACAGACACGGCCGCCTCCTGAGGGGCCCCGGGGGGCCCAAACCCTCGGGGAAGCCGCGGCGCCAAGGCGGAGCCCTTCGCGCCGCCCCCGGGCCCGCCGGAGCCCCCGGGAGAGCCCGCGAGGGGGCAAGCC